CGTCGTACGTACGTACTACACACACACACACACACACACACACACACACTACTACACACACACACACACACACTACACACACACACACACACACACACACACACACACAGACACAGACACAGACACAGACACAGACACAGACACAGACACAGACACACACATTCACTGCACATGCACGCACAACACACTGCTGTCCACACCACTCACCTTCCAGATCTTGGCGGTCCTATCCGCAGACACGGACAGCAGCTCTGAACCATCGGGGCTCCATGACACACACATGACACTGCCCTTGTGTGCGGTTGATCCGACTTCTCCCTGCTTCTCCCCTGACTTACCGTCGTATGTGAAGATGCGACCGTCAGACCCAGCTGTTACATACACCGAGCCATCTGGCTTGTATCTGAAAAGTCGCGAGGGGGGGTGGGGGGAAGGGAGTGAGAGAGTGAGCGTTGGTATTGGAGAGTCGCGGGGGACGAGAGTGAGGGTTCGTATTGGAGGTATTGGTTTTGTCCAAGCATTAGAGGGGAAAGGGGTTTCATCTCATCGTGGTAGAGCCACTAAGCTCAGCAAGCAGCGCAGTCTCATGATCTATGCCCCCGTTAGCAGCTGAACGTACCAACGTGTTTTGTAAGTATGCGCACACGCCCATACAGACGAACAGAACAGTACGCATGGTTGCTACGGATATTGGACAGAGAGAAGCGTCTCCTTCCCGACATCCCCCCACCTAATCGAAATAGAAAAGATTCGAAGTACTCTCTGGAACACACCGCAGCCTATAAATCGACACACACCCTCGCTGCATACCCATGGCTGTCTGTGATTGGTTGTGTAATATACCTACATACCTGGCGACTTGGCAGAACTTCGTGTGGTCGGTGTTGCTGTGACTGAATTTGAAGGGCGGGCCCTGGTAGAACCCACTGGCATTGTCTTCACTCGCAGTGATCACACGGTACGGCCGGTTGGGCTTCATGTCGATCGAGTTGATGGCCTTGGCTGAGGGATGGGCAAAGAGAGCACGCGTTCATATGTGTATGGTAGACTATGGATATAAGGTATATACGTTCAAGAACCAGACAAGTATATATATTAACGTGTATGTAAGTGTGTGGACGTATCTGTAGTGTATGTGGTATGTGAATGTGCGCACGAAGTTCAAAGATACAGCGAATTACAAATTCGAAGCGAGTATGGGCATATAACATCAAAGGGTATAGAAATAGCGAGCTACGCAGCGAAGGATTGAAGGTTTTAGGGTTTTAGGGTTCTAAACCCTAAAACCCTAAAGAGTGCACAACTCACCATGGCCTGTAATACCGCCTACAGAAGACCCGGTATCGACCAGAAACGCAGCACCGAAGGTCTCCTTACCCTCACCGCCCACAACAATACGTTTGCTGTCCTCCGACCAGGCCAGGTCCTTGATGGGCCCTGGTCCAATACAAAAGCAGCAAACACCGAAAAACGTTACTACATAACATCTGAAGACGAGTACGTTTAAAACCCTAGACGTTCAGATGATATTCATCTGCTGGGTACCACGCCCGGCCAATTGGTAACCGCCAACGGTAAGAAAACATCGACGAGCCGCAAGTGTGGGAAGACATAAGCGGAAGACATAAGCTACAGATACAAGGCAGCCGCATTGTCTAACATACCTGATAGCGGACGGTATTCGTGCTTGAGAATGTGCTCCTCATTGACAGTGTCCCAGATGCGAACGTTTCCGGCCGTATCCGCCGATGCAATATAGTAACCAGAGGGAGCGTACCTGGCTGTAGTGCACTCCTGGGCGTGCTGCTGGTAGATGTCTGACACATCAGGGCTCTGAGGTGTAGAAGAAGTTGTGAAGAGGACGTATAAGTTTCCATGGAATATACGCTGTTAATTTTCTTAGTATGTTAAAAAGAAGTGAATACATATATAAGGACAGGATCATATATGCATACGTACAAGATATATATATATGTCTATTGAGATCTATTTTCATGTATATGTCCATATCTATATATCTATATATATATATATATATATATAAATATATATATATATATATATATATATATATATATATATATATATATATATATATATATATATATATATATATATATATATATATATATATATATATATATATATATATATATATATATA